CTTAATGATGACTTTCTCAGTATCATTGGCATTAAAAAAAATTATTTATGGTTTTGACTTGCTAGAAAGCTTTTCTAATGGTACGCCTCACTTTGACAGGTCTTGTGACTTTCAAGGCATTTCCTATCTCAAGATATCTTTACTTATTACTCTGCAAACTCTGTTTTTTCTTGTTTTAGAGTCCCTCCTCTGTAACCGTTATTCATGTACCTTCTCTACAACTACTTTTGCAGGAAAGGAAGTACCACATGGTTTGAAGTCACAGCATATAGACATGACAAAATTGTGTGGGTGGGTCACTTCAGTTCTCCAATGGACCACATGATAGTCTCACAGTTAAAAAAAAGGGGGGGGGGGGGAGAAATGATGAAACTACCTGAATTCAAAGATCATTTTAAGTCAAGCCCATGTGGTTTTTAGGGTGATTGACCTTTTTGGTGGAGTTGAATATATCTTGGTTTCTGTAGTAACAGAAATAGTTTTTCTTTAGTTGTGCTTCTCTGTTTTTATACAAATCATTAGGTTTAAGACATGGGGATGGAACACACTAGTGCAGCACTATCTATTGCTTTTTCTAGCTTCTCTGTTTTGTTTGCACTTGTCTTGCAACAGCTTCTGAATGTAGTAGCAAACATGAAATGAACAAAGAGAGATGTGGGTGTTTTCATACCCCTCAGGGCAGTGATTTATGATGGAATCTTAAATCTGCTGATTAGGAATAAATTTGCTATAGCTGCTACAGTTACTGTGGTGAAAATCTTCCATGAATTAAGATAACTACAATGTTGGGTGTGTTTTTAAGCCAGAGTATACTTATTTAGCACAATATTGTCTAATTTCCTTTTCTCTTACCCTGTTTCTACACTGGAGATTAGTAAGCAGAAATGACTGGTAAGGCTCAAACCTAGTGGCAGTGCGGTACGGGAGCCTGGGCCACACTGATTTGCCTGTCACTGCTCCGCAGATGAAGCTGCAACACAAGAAGAGTCTTCAGCTGAGTATATGCTTACATAAAATCAGTCCTCTGTATCCCTTCATCTGTTAGTCTTAAACAGTGTTCACATAAAATGCAGTAGCTTTGGCCAGGATGGTCAGAATACCTTCTGCATTAAAGAATGTATTAAGCTCTACTGCAGGTAGTAGAATTAAGAAGAGATAAGAAATCTAGTCTTCTAAATCATTTGTTAATAGTGAACAGATTTTTTACTATACTGCTAAAATGTCCTCTTTTCTTCCCCCAGCTGACTGTTACAAGGGTGAACAGCCAAACACTAAAAATAAATGTAAATTAAGCTATGGGTAAGCTTGGTCTCAGACCCTGATGACATCTTAGGTGATCTATTTGTTGGGGTTTTTTTTGTTGTTTATTTAGGACTGTTTCTAGTCTTACACCTCTTTCAAAACTGTCTTTAAGCTGGTAGTAGCTTATTTAAGTGAAGCTATACCATGAGCACCCTTTAGAAATTTAAGAGCAAGGAGTGTCAAAAGTCAAACTAAATTTCAAATAATTATTTCAGTAATAAATGGCTTAACACTTATGGCAGTCTGTGTCCTGCCTGCTTTGTATTAACTGGATCCTGGGAGGGGAGGGGGGACCTGGTTTATATTTATGAAGACTTGATTCTTCTTTGAACAGTGGTCTAACCTACCCATGCAGAAAACCAAATAGCAAGTTAAACCTCTAGCAGTAGTATGTTGTATTCTCCTAACCTGTAACTTTATCATTTAAGTGCTAAATGAGGTGAAGATTTTACCTCCTCATCACATTCCTTTTCTCTTGACAATTGGGACGCTACCTTTTGAGATGCCCAAAGCTACCTCCCTGCTGCAGCAGAGCAGTAGAATGTATGCTTGTACTCATGGGTGCAGAAGTGAGAAAGCTGATTAGAATTTTTTAGTTTCTGAATATAACCCAAGAAGAGTGGTAGAAGCCCCTGAGAGCATCTGGATCCAGAGAGGAACCACTCCTGGAGCCACGGGCCTCCTGCTGTTGCCGCAAACTTAGAGAGCAGGAGATACGTTATGTTGATCTGAAAAAGAAGTAGAATGGCTGTGGAAGACAGAGCTATTTTTGAGTGAAATGGCTTTTGTATTTGGGATTTCAGCAGTATCATAAGGAGGGCAAAACTGGGAGGAGGCTGTTGCCTTAGAGTGCTTTGTACTAACTTTTGAGCTTGGGTGCAGTGGATGTGTAGCTAGATGCTGCACCGTCATTTGGTACAGGCAGATGTGCTAGGATAAGCTTCCAGCCCAGAGATGCTCTCCTGTATTGATAATCAAGTCTGGCAGACATTAAATCCAAAGAGGCCAGTGGGAGCTCAGGTATTACAGCAGGGATTAGGCAAAGCTCATCTCCACTGAGCTGCGCCTCCGCTAACCCTAATGAGCCAGAGCACTGGGCGCTGATGATGGTTAAACACAGGATGGGTGCTCAGAGAGGCTGTGGCACCCACCCAGGTACTCAGCTCTGCTCAACAAAGGCTGGAGCAACTTGGGCAAGCCCTGCCCCAAGCAAGGCTAACTTCAGCATCCTTCTGTTCTCAAGTAAATTACTCTATTCACGGGAACTTTGGAGCAATAACCCTGTAGGAGGAATGATCCTACCCCCAAAAATCAGGATAAGGAAACAACCATCCTAGAGATAAACATGCAAGTCTTAACAGCAATATGGATGCTGAACTAGTTCCAGCTGAACTTGAATTTACATCTCCAAGTGTAAGATCATGTGCTTAAAGATAGGTGCTAAATGTCAAGTTCAAGAAATTTCTATGGATGAAGTTTGAATCAAACGGGACCTCTGTGAAAGAAGAAGTGTAATTACCTCAATGTAATCTGCTGGCCAAAATCTGGAGTGCTCTAACTGGAATCACACCATTAAGAGTCGCTCTATGCCTTTACCTTTGGCAAATGTGTTCTCTCTCCTTCCCTGGCACCTCCACACTAACTCACCTCAAACTGACCTCTGCAACTTCCCTCTCCCCCAGTCAGCAACTCTCAGATCACCATGTTGAACAGATGCCCACACGCCAGCCTGTGTGACCCGAGCCACAGGACGGGTCCCCTCTCCTACACAATATGGGCAATCGAACTAGCAAATCCCCCGTCCCCTATTTTCCCCACCACTTGGCAATAAGGTAGAACTACATTATCTCCTGCCTAGGGCTTATTTTAAGTAATTTTCTTTTTTAGTGATTCTAAAAGTTAATGCTAAATCCTTCAAGTAGGTCTTCTCTTCCTAAAATGATACTCATGCTTTGGCTGCAACTACTGAGCCTTGCTCTCCTATTCTTACCACTACCCCACCTGAAGACAAAAAAAAAAATCACTTGTCATAGATAAAGGTTTTTCCAGGTGACACTACTAAATAATAGATTTACAACTCCTTTCTAATATGAACTTGGAAATTAAGGAAGCTTCTACAAATGAGCAGCCTTTCCTATGATTCTGGCAAACTGGAACTCTCTTCACAATGTCAACTCCTGAATGCTGTGCAGGGGCCTCTCCTGCTCTTGACTTCAGGACTCTACAGACAGCACAATTCCAAAAAAAAAGGTGACAAATCAAAAGGGAGTAGCAAAAAAGCCTCCTCTTGCCCCTCCATCTAAGATGGATGCTGGGAGTCTCTGGGAGCACTGAATTAAATTACCGCATCCTCTCCAAGAGCAGCTCAGTTAACTGTCCCTACAGCAAAGGCTTTGAGTATTCTGTACTGGTGTTTTCAGTATCAGGAAACCCAGTCTTGGCTTCCCACCTGTCTCTTGCAGGGCTAAAATCTTTCCACAGCCATAAAACTCAGTGTCAAGTCGCAGGAGTCGCTGGTAGCAGGGCTGTCTTTTCTTACGCACTACCCTGGTGTTAGCACAAAGTATCTATATAGCAGAAAAGCACTGCCCATGTGAATGACATTACTCCAGCACGTTCTCCACCTCCACAGGATCTCAGAGCTTGCATTTGAAGGCTTGCATGCCTGCTAAATTCTTACATCCAACCCTCTTACAAGATCATCTTCAAGGGGTGGTGTTAAGGCACTGCCACTTCTTCAGCTGTTCCATTACTCTCAAACCCTTTGTAATAGAACCGTTAAGTGGCAACGGTCCAAGCTCTAAAATTGCATAATTGATCCAATACACAAAACAACCGGAAAATATTTTAACTAAAGCCTTTTATTCTATACAACTGTGAAACATCATTTACCCTTCTGGCATTGCAGACTCTTCTGTCAATCTTTCCTGAAACTGTGTTTCGGGATGGTTAGGGAAAAAAAAAACAACACAAAAAAGAAGAAAAATTACAACCTTGGCTGATTTCAAACAAAATTACTGGGAGCAATTCCAATGTACACAAAGGGACAGCAAGACAACCAGGAAAAAAAACCAAAGCAAACAATGCCTATTGGAACAAGTGTAGACCCTTGCTATTAATAAATACAAGTCAGGACAATTTATCAATAAAAGTTGCAGTTCTGTTTAACCATTTAATTCACAAATATGTGTAGTTATAGCACAGTTATGTCAAACTGAGCATCCACAGAAATGGGGATTAAAAACTGAAACTGACTCTCAAAAGACAGGGAAAAGACCTGCTAGCTTCGTTCTGAACCGTATTTTTTGTTTAAGCAATGAGTTTGTTCAGCTAGGTTTAAGAGTGCAGAAGGTAATAATTTGACTTTTTTTTTTTTCTCTCAAATAAAATACGATGAAAAATATTTTATTTTTTGTTTGACGAATACAATCCCAGTAATATAATTTATTGGGACTTTCTTTAGGCCTCAACCTAAATCTTGATAGCAAGATACAGGAAAGGCAAGAGCATATGTCTCCTGAAGAAACTCGAATAATATACTGCCCTTTGAAGGCACTTGTGCTTCTGCTTCAGACAAGAGTCATTTTTACACAATTTCTTTATGAGGATTTATAATTTGTTCTGGCTACAAATGGGTTTCCGGGACAGCCCTACATTTTCTCATGAAAAGTTGAAATGCCTTTACCCCCTCCCCCCAATAAGTTAAACTCTATAAAAGACTACTATGAGTCTATGACAGTCACAGATTTTTAGAAATAACAGTGAAAAGAAGATCCGCATAAATCTCTAACAAAAGAACAACTGCATATAAAACTTCAGAAAAGAAGAATAAGTATTTTTATATCATGAATATGAAATCTGCTGAGAAGTTTCTAAAGTTTAACATTAAACATAAGAAGTTATTTTCAGAATGGTCTGAAGTTTTAACAAAACGTCATGTAGTTTTGGAGCACAGTTACCAAAAATTAGACTACTGCATCTTTAGAACAGCTAGGACACAGTAGTTATAGGAAGTAGTTATATATATTTAAAAAAAAAAATCTCCTTAAGTTGCTGCAAAGCATGTTCACTCTATTATGATGCACAGCATCATTGGACTGACCCTGCTACAATACTTATCTAGTGTTCTTACTCTGCACATCAATAGCTCTCTAAAGCAACAATTGAGTTGCAGTATTAAAACACGTCTAATGTTAACCCTTCATTTGCAATTAAACAGGCTGATTCTTTCAATTATGCAATTCCTATTTTCTGTTGTTTTTCTTTTCCAAATTTCTTTAAGTGGTAGACATGTTTGAGTGTGAGAAATCATTGTAGGAACTTTATGAATGGAATGTACTAAAACTACCTTGTGTGCAGTTCTGAATTACATTGTGAACACAGCGACTACTATGGCCAAAACAGCTTCATATCAAGCATGAGCAGATGAGGATATTATGTTCTGGAAAAACAAAAGCAAAAAGGAGGAAGCAAAAGTCTGCACTGGATTATCATCCATTCTCTGTACACCTCACACAACACGAACCACTCAGGGACTTCCCATCTCATTGGCTGAGACTAGGACAGACTTTAGTTTAACTCATATAGATTTTTTTTTCCTCTATATTACAGATCTATTAGTCACTTCAATTAAATGTATACTTTCCGTCCATACTGAGTCATTAGAAGTCTCATCTACCTTAGGGGTTCAGTGGGCTTCTATAGTACTATTCTTGGAACCAGTACAGTATGGTCAAGTAAATAAGTAACCATTTGGGTCCACCACTCCCTTCACGTTGATTTCTGGCGATAATGAAGCGTCAGATCACCACCACTCTTCCAAATGAAGTGCTTTACAGTTCGAAGGTCCATATTCGGATCCAAAACCTAAACAGTAAAAATTCATCTTTTATTCCACAAATCTGCAAGACTGTCAGAAATTCAAAGCTAAAACACTCTGGTTGGGCAAAACAATCCTATGGGTGAATTGGCATCAAAGATGAACCATGCAAAGGTTCAGAATTTCCAACTAGCAAGTAAAACTGGCGCATTATGTGTTCGGCTATTCTCCCAAGTAACAAGCAATAGGACGAGGAAATGGAGTCAAGATGCACCAGGGGAGGTTTAGATTGGGTATTAGGAAAAATTCCTTCACCAAAAGGGTTGTCAATCACTGAAACAGGCTGCCCAGGGAAGTGGTGCAGTCACCGTCCCTGGAGGTATTTAAAACATGTGTAGATGTGGTGCTTAGGGACATGGTTTAGTGGTGGACTTGGCAGTGCTGGGTTAACGGTTGGACTCAATCTTAAAGGTCTTTTCCAAGCTACATGATTCTATTATTACTGAAAGATTTTACCAACGTATCACATAACTTCGTATTACAACCACCTCCTCAATATTTGATCTTCATGTACTTGTTACACTTACTAGACAATTCAGGATTTTGGACAAATTTTAAATTCTGCTAGAAATGTAGAATTAAAAACATTCCAAAAATGCTAGAAATGGAACTCTGGAATTGTATTAAATCCATTTGTTGAGTATGAGCAAGCAATCCCATAAAGGCTATTAGTTAGACCAAATTAAACAGGCACACTATACAAAATTCTTTGATCCAGCTATCTGCAACCGTCTGAACTTGCGTCAGCAGTTAGTTAACATGACATCAAAACATTTACGTAGTTTAAAAGGTAATAGATCATCTATAGCATTTGTCAAGCTTTTGTCTACAGGCTAAAAAGCCCGACTGACTTACCTGGTCCTGGCACAGCAGTTCAATCTTCTCCTCTGCTAGCACAGCAATGTCCTCCTCTTTTTCTTGTTCTCCTGCTTTTTCATTATTGGAAGAGCTAGTTGTCTGCGACTCATTATCCAAGTTTATGATTTTCTCATAGACGTGTTCCATCACTTTCCTCACTTGAAGCATATCACTTGCTGACAGTCGGTCTCTATACAAAGGTAAGCAAAGTGTGGCAGGAAAAAACGTGACAAACTATATTTCTTATCTTCACAATACCTTAATACGTAGCAAACTATGCAACTACCCAGATAAGCTCTTTATATAATAAGTTTAATAGTAAATAATTGAGATCATCCAGAATACCATGATCACAACAGGTATTTATCCAAAAATTTACACAGCAGAAGGGACACAGAAAAGCAGTAAAATATTCAAAAGACCAAATTAAAAATCAAACCTTAGATGAAGAGTATTGTACACAACTCTCATTCTTTCACTAGAAAGGGGATTAGTAAAAGAAGGACAGAGGAGATGGAATAATAAAAGCGGTAAGCCAGAAGGTGCTGTTCACCCTACGACATTAACAGAAGGGCATTCTGAAGTAATAAGCAGCAGCAGTTTTTCCATAAAGTACACAAAAAGTCTATGAAGCTCCTCTTTCACAAATTGTAAAGAATTCAACAAGACCTAAAGAGGAAATAGCCATTTGTGGAGGATACCCCAAAATGTTGCATGTAAAAGGTAAGCACATTGTCTATGACACTGACTTCCTATCTGAGAACCTGCATTGATTTCTAATCTATATAGCTCCCAGTTACAGCTAATGCGACGGGCAGACTGTCTTGCATTCCCTACTGTCAGGTTTTGTACCTTTTCCTTTTAAAAACCTATTATTCCTCACGGTTAGAAATAGGAAACATAATATAAATATATATAGTTCGTATATTTTAGTAATGATAATAATAATAAATAAAAATGCAAATATGCATTACTTACTTTTTTAAAGTTTTTGCCCCTGATGATGAATGAGGTTGGAGGTAGAAGGGAATCTTATTGAATTTGGGCATATTTTTCTAGAAGGAAACAGATTTGAAAAGTGTTAATTAAAGATGAACTGTTATCAGCTCTTATTTCCACCAGCTGCTATGTGAAGTATATTCAGCTCCTAATTATCAAAAACCAAGAGAGATCCTTAATCAACATAACCACCCCAGCCAACTTCCAAATTACTCATACTCCTGAGATGCTTCAATTTAGACGATGCACATATTATATCTAGCTTTTGAATATAAATTATCATTTATTTCAAAGGAAATTAGATAGTATCAAAAGACTGCAGCAGTATGAAGAGCATTCTCTGTTCCTGAGCTCCACATTTGTTAAGGATACCAATTATGCAGTGTTTTGAATTATTTTTCTAAGACTTTCTGGCAAAAGAAAGTGAGGAAAAATACCTTTACTGGATACATCAAAGAATAATGAATCTCAAAGGGTCTTGAATACAGACCTTGACATCACTTATTTTAAATACCAACAGAGTAAGAATTTAAAGTGTCATTTCAGATTCTGTACAGTTAAAAAATATTGTAGTTCACCTTAAGAAACCAACAAAAAGGCAAAATCTATACAGGTGATACTTACATCCACAGTGATGTCAATTACCCATTGTGGCACAGTTTCATTAAGAAGCATAGATTCAGTTTCACCACCTGAATCCCGACATAATAACCTAAGACACAGAGAAATAAACTTTGTGAATGAAAACAATTATTGTTAATGCATGTTAAAAAGCTTTCAGGAGAAGACCTGCCCTTTTAATGGGCAGGGAGCTTGAACCTGTTTAGCTGGCCCTTTACGTCATCACACTTATTGGGGAAGTGATCACATATTTTCTATGAAGTCCAGAAAAAGTAGTTGCAGGAAGACAGATCCCTAAAGCACAAACAGGGAGGTGTCTCAGCAGACCCTAGGCTACGGTACAGAGAAATTCTGTTCACCCTACAACATACTTTGCTCATGGATTGCATATATTGTGTGTTGAGGTACAAAACTGTCGTAAGAAGGGGAAAGGCAATAAAAAAAAAAAAGCAAGCAATTCTTTTCTGCTTGGAAAAAATGAGCTTTGCATGTAAAGCATCTGCTAAGCTCTCACCAAATGGAAAGAAGAAAACCAATTTTAAGAAATGTGCACACACAATGGTGAAACAAAGTCAGATATAATTTTATAAATTCCAATCAAGTATTTTGTCAGAGATTCCTGCAAACCACCTTTTAGGTCCAGTAAGTATGGCTTACGCCCTCCAATGGTGTCTTTTCAGCATAGGCTCGAGAACAAGCTGTATAAAACGTTAAGATCCACCAGTACAGATTGGATGCAAATATTAAGCTCCAGCTACAATGTAAATACATTGACACTGCAGAAAAAAACATCAGTTTTCAAAGCTGAAAAAGGTTACCCTGTTTTACTGACCAATTCATGGACCAAAAGTTACAGGTTTTGGGCCTATTCAGCCTGGGAAACAAAAAGAACAAATCGAACATCCCTCACCCCTCAAATTTAAAATCCACTATGTCAGTAAGTATTAAATGCTTCAGGGTATTTTAAAGTTAGGCATTTGTTTTGCAGCACTATTAAACGGTCTCTGACGTCTCCTATATCACAGGCTTTTCAACGCAGAATGAAAAGAAATAGAAGGGTAATCAGTATATACACATTACAATACAGAACCTGTGTTCCTACCTGCCAGAGCTGAGCACGTTCTACTGGGTCATCAACTCTAATTCTGGGAGCAGAAACCAGCTCTCTAGTGAGTAGGGTCTCCTGAGTCATTAATGCTCAAAGACCAGCATAACATACCCATAAGAGAAGTTCTACAAGAATCTGAAGTAACACAATTTCATTCTAAAACTAAGTTCAGTTAATCGGTTTGCAGGAAGAGGACACCCAAAGAGATCTCAAAGCTACGACACACAACTAAGAATAATGTAAAACTCTTGCCATCACAAAACTCCACGCCTTGATGATGTTCAAACTCGCATGTTCAGTTGGACAATGCAAAATTAGCACTAACAGCTGCTTATTTTACCTGTCAAGCGTGTGTCTTGCATCCCTTTTGTACTGTATATTCAAGTATTGCATTTTGATAACATTTTTTCCTTTCATAAAGGAAATGATTGTTAAGCCACTGAATTTACACTCTTGAGGTTTTTATACCTGAACAAAGTGCGTCCTCCAGCCTCACCAAAAATAACTGGTGTATGTGGTGGCACTTGAAAGTACCCATTTCCTTTCTGGACTCTGTTCTCCTGCTCACCATTCACTGTTGGAAAAAAAACCATACGCAACAGTAAGACTGCGCTAGGCCTTAAAATCTGGTATACATAGACTAAAAAGCATCTTTTCCACCTACAGCTAATGTATTTCATAAATTAACAAAATCATAAGCTTCATATAAAACAAGAAAATCCCCATTTCCAACACAGAGCAAGTATATTAAAAGGAACACTAGAGAGTAATGAGATCAATGCAATTTTGTGGAAGGCCTATTTAAAAAGCCTTTAAGAAAAGGGCAATAGAGCTCATGAGCCAAAACCTGATCACTAGTTTTCTCTAGTTCATTAACAGAATTCTGAGGATTTGTCAAACTGCACAATATTAATATTAGAAACCAACTCAAGAGATTCCGCTGAGACGAGACTATTTCCCCCCCTACACTGACAGTACAGAACTCTGACGGGTATTAGCTTTGCTCTTCTACCTGGATTTGCCAGATGTCAAAACAGTTTACTAGTAAAGCTCAGACCCACATTTCCTTGAAGTTACTGCATTCTGAATTCAATTTATTTTTAGCTAGTTATAGTAGTATGGTCTTCAAACACTGAAGAACCTGATTCTGCATCAGATGCTTAGGATATGATTAAAGAAAAATCAGCACTATTTATGCACCTCAAAGAGCACAACTTCTAGTCATCATTCAGATATCTTGGAACACTATATAGGAGCATTTAGATGCCTTCCTTTCACTTGAGAACGATCATCTTGATTACACTGCAGCATCTAATTACTGTATTTGAACATGATGTTGAATTCAAGCAACGTAAGAAATTGAAATTACTCATGAGATGAGTAATTCCTTAGCTTTCTGACTAGCAGTACATGTAGTGAAAGAAAGGTCAAAAATCGTATCAAGCAAAGAAATCAAAACAGAAAATCTATTCTCTGTTAGAGGGGATGAATACGATACTGAAGTTAGAGCAAGTGAAAAATCCCACAATTTGAAAGATTTCTTTATAACAGTTTTGTTAACAATTGAGACGAACAATACTACACATATATACATACATATATGTATGTATATTTAAGTTCTTGTCTCTTTACACAAATTTTACTGTCCAACAGGTACATTTTTTCTTCTTAAGTCACTGTTCAGGGTCAGTTTCTTGTTACTTTTGAAAGGGAAAATGAAGACTGATTCTGTAGTGAATATCCTAATCATTATTCCATTCATCCACAGCTATTCCCAGAAGTAAGTGGTGCAGCATCAGTGTTCCAACAACACAAAAGCCTGAGTTATATTTCTCATATATTGTCTGGCTCTCAAGCTGTAGCTTGCCAATACACAAAAGTATGAGAATCAGCAACTTTATCCAGAAAAGCCTGCCAAGTGCTGTAACCCTCCACGGGGGTCATGTTTGAAAGAACAAAGTAGCTAATTCTTGGCACAATCTCTGTCACAAAATGGCAAGATATTGCTGAACGTACAGTTTTCTTAATTGCATTATCTGTAGAAAGTAATTTCTTAATCACCAAAGACAAGACTTTTCAGTCAACTCTGATCTAGGTTGAATTCATTTCAAAATAATCTACAAACTTAGGAGTTATACAATCTCTCTTATTCTGCCAAATTCAGCCAGCATCTCACATTTTACATACCTGTGCTTTTTATCTCATGCCTGATTAGACTTTACATTACTACCTTAAAACACCACTCTTTAAGGTTGTTTTGGACAGACCTACCCCATGTATTATTCTAATATCCATTGAAAATATTTTTTTTTCAGTAAATCTTTCTTTTAATTTTGTATTGTTCGTAATACCTAGAAGCAAACTGGAATTATGTCAAGAGAATACTGGCCAATGTTGAATAACTGAACTATTGCTCTTTGCTGTCATTATCTAGGCTGTTTCTTTTCCAAGTCAAGCCTTATTTCTGCCAGTAATTGTTTTTCATTGAGGCGTCATGTTTCTGTAACTTCAGAATCATCTATTCACCTACTTTTTTACGGACTAGAGTTCTTAAGACTTTCGCTGACACTTTCAGAAGAAAGCTACTCTGCAAATTTTGGTGTAAAGCAAATTTAAAAGCATTAAAAAAACATTACTCTATAATGCATACAGAGACAGTTATAACACAGCAAGTCAAGTTGTATCTGTTAAAGAAACAGAAATATAAACCAAGAGAATGTATGCACAAATCCTAAAAAAAGGAAAATATTAAAAAACTAACCGTGATTTATTTCATTTTCTTCTTCATCCATTGGATTGATATGTGTTCTAGGCCAATACTCCAGAAGTGCTTGTAGCAGAAGCCCTCCAAGGTTTACTGTGAAGACATAGTGAGGTAGAACTTCAGCTACACAAAAACCACCAGCATCATGATATTCTAACATTTGATTCACAGCTGAAAGCTTTCCTGAAAGTTTGTGTAGTTCTGGTCCCCAAACAAACTATTTATGGGCACAGAAATCTGCTTATCCCAGTCTCAGAGCCATATGTTACAATCTCTCAAAAAAAGCTGATTTTAGAATTGCTAAACTCACTAAACTATGTGAGTGCTGGTTCACTCGCATGCTATAACATTCTGTAGATTAGGTAATACTTCCAAGTTTAGGAGTATTACTTTTTCCCTTTTGCTGCTTGAAGATTCAAAACCAAGTTAAATAGAAAACCTGAACATGACTGAAATGTTTCAGGAAAAAAAAGCAAACATCCTCATTGGAGAATTCTCTGCAGAATTTAGTCTCAAGAAAATAAGCCCTAAAATTCAACCAGCTACTGACATATGTGGCACTGGAATACTTTCAAACATAAATACAGGAATTCATTCTGCTTTTTTTTGTCTCAATAAAACACTAATATTAGTTAAAACTTACATTTTGGATCAGAACCATCTGGACTGCTAAATCCAGCATCTTTTGCTGAAACCCAGGCTGCAAAACAGTCACTTTCATCCAAAGTAATTGTCAACATCTGTTGGATAAAGACCACCAGAAAGAGGAATGAAGCCTATAAATTTATAATTTTGTTCATACTTAGCTAGGAATACAAAACAAAGAATTTCTAAATGCATGATAGCACACTTTGTTTACCAAACTGTATTAGTTCATAATTAGTATTGGTGGATTTAAACTGACCATGCGATGAGAAAAAAAAATATAAAAAAATCCGTTATTCAAATTAAGAACTGAGGTAAAAATTGCTGGTTTGCTTCAAAATAAACCTAATCTATCAGATAAATTATGATCATTCTTCAAAACTTACAACACACTAAAACCTTTGTGAACAAACAGTATATGAAAATATATGAAATCTGACATTAGAACAACAGATTCAGGAGTTGTATCTCACCCCGGTTTTCAAGTCTACTGAGAACCAGTTTGGCACATACACCATTTTAAATCTCTTCTTAATTTCTTCTTCAAAATCTACTTTCCCAAGGTCTTCAACCTTACATGCCTGTACACCAAAAGAAATACACAAGTTTTTAAATTCTGAGTATTGTGTCATATCAACACCTCAAATCTTTTACTTGACTTTCATATACATTTGGAATGATTATGACCTATGATTTCTCCGTGAGTACTGTAGTCCAGAAACATGTACATTAAAGGTTCACATTTTTCTCAAAAAAATTGAACAATAGTTTATGTGGTAAGTAATTTTTATTTTTTTACTTATTATTTATTTCTGAGGTAGTGGCATCAAGACAATGGAGATGTATGGAAGTATTACTTCACGTTAATAAAAAAACATTTTCCTATCACTGATAGCTGTCTTCTAGCATCCTGTCATTCTTCTCTCCATCAAATACCAGTATTTGTTGCAAATCTAGCAACAAATTCAGCTCAACTAGTGCAATAGGAACAGCAGTGAGTGAATCTGTATGCAGATTCTTTTTTCCTGTTTTAGTTTACACTATTATTTTTAAAGTTCCTCAGGTAGGTCTGTTAACACCCAAATTCTTGTAATCCACTTGCAGAGTCATCCTGAAACACACGCTTTAAGCAAACTCTAACGATTGTAACCTTGCAAGACTTCTTTCCTCAAAATCCAGGAAAAGTTACAGGAAGCAAAGATTGCAGGGTGTACCTACAGGTAAAAAACCCTCCCTCTTCCAGCATCCTCAATAAATAGTCTTAGCTTTAGAGTTCAGTGATCCTACACATGACACTTTGACCTGGGGAGTAACCCCATCTCTAAAGTGAATATGTATTTAAACACATCTAAGAGATGCTTCTGAAATTCTTAGTAACAAAAGAAAAAGATAATTGAATAAAAGTATGAATTACACATTAGCATTTGACTTTGGTCCTGAGATCTAACACTGTAATTAATTGTCTATCAACTGTAAACTGAAAGAAAGAAAAGCTATCACTTTTCCACAAAAGTAATCTAGATCATTTCTAGTACAAATCCACATTCTCCAACTTAATTCCCTTCTTTCTCACTTCAGTCAGCACCTCAGTAAGTTCACTGAGAGTGCTTTACTCCATTACTGAATCTTGGCTGGAGCACTGCATAGCTCAAGATGAAAAAAAATTGATTTAGAATTTCAAACAGGATTTTGCAAGAGAAGGAATTGCTGACCATCTCACTGATCTTTCTCTTTGTACTCTTTTCCCTCTCCTCTGAGCAATCATTGGGTAAAGCAAGATAAAGAAATGCCACGCCAAGTCTCCCTCTTCTCACGGGAGCAAGTAACGCTAGGCGGGAGCCATGCCTCCTCCTGCTAACTTTCCTTCCAGTCCTGCCTGCTATCTTGCCAACAAGGGAAGCGGTGAGTTCGCACTCCCAGAAAAATCCACCGACTGCTAGTCAGCACACTCGCTTGGGATCTGTGGGTTTGTAGCAGGACGTGAAGCACAGGTTTCTCTTTTGCAGTCTAAGCTTTCGTATGCTATTCCACTCCGCATTGGCCAGACATGCCTTGGGCCTCTAAAAGCCACCTTCAAAACAAAACCCAATCAAAACAAACATCACTATTTTTAGCAGAGACTTCTAGGGTCTGAAATTCAGGTGAATGAAGATGTCAATACCCAGCCTCACGTCAGGCAGATGCAGAAAAGCTCAGAAATGGCCCCTCCCCTTTCAAAAAGCAATTTTTGCGTTATGTCTTGGGACAAAGGATGCCTTACTTTCTGCCATAGGAATCTCACGCATTAAAAATAATATATATAAGAAGTACAAAGTAATTAATCATCCAACAGTAGATGTTTAACCTGAAATTATATACTTACCTTCAAGACATCCCAGTATGCCACATTATTATTTGTGTCTTTGGTTAATATGTGTCTCTTGTCGTTAAGAATGTGGCACTGAATAATACTAGCACCGCCTAGCAAACAAACAGGAATTAAGGTCACAACAGTGATTTTTTTTTTCTAATATTACATTAAATTAAACCGCGTAACACGACAAGTGTGATTGTTCTTTGGTTTCACTGTTTTATGCAAGACTTTGATATCACCATGGTTTAAACACTGTTTTAACTGTAACTAACACTAGATAGATGATAACCACTTTGTCTTTCTTTCAGCTGAAATCATAGTATCAAGTACCTAAAAACCTGAGCCAGTCTTAAAGATCTACCATTTCTGCTAATGATAACAGATTTTATAAGGTACTCTGAAAAACAGCTGCTTACCTTTTATAACTTGGTCAGGCTGTGTACATAGAGGTGGTATAGGATTGGTACAATCATTATCATAGTCTCCAGATGCTCTAAAATTATGAATTCCCTTCAAAGTCTAAAGAAAGAAACAAAATAATGACACATTCATAATAATCTATAAACTTTGCTTTTATCTGTGAGTAACAACTGCCAGTTCATGCTGCTATTTAGATGCTAACCGTTCAGTGCTGAGTAAGATAACTTCCCTCTAAAAGCAGCATAAATAGATAGCAAAGGAAGTAATTCAAAGCTTAATGTCTTTTGATCAATTTCAATATGAGCATGTTATGTTTTTTTCTAAAGAAAGCTTAGAGATCATAGCAAGTCACAGTCAAATCCCAAGTAACAGTCCAACAGTTCCCAAAGCAAGACTGCAAATCCCATGACTACTTAATTGAATTCACAGAGCGTAAAATATATCTCTTACCCATTTATTCACAGAGGATTTAGTTGTTGCGACCCAAAGTGCTGGAGGAGGATCAGCTGATCTATCAAGTTCCATCTAAATAATGAAACCACAGATACTGTCAGGCATGCTTAACTCAATTTTCCTTTGTTAAATCAATATTCGCTCTGTGTAGACCCGCTCCCATACTTGGATGTATCTCAGAAACAGCACTACTTTCAGTTTACTAAAGAAATACAAAGTTTAAATGAAAAATAACTAAACTGCAATTTTTGAAACTCCAGAGAAATTGTTTCAAACATTCAACAAACAAATTCTGGACATGGACCACAGTTAAGTGCGATGTGTCTAAACAGCCAGTATTTAAAGCTGCTTCTAGCATGACGCAATCTTGTCTAATGGACAGTTTGGTAAATACAGTATTTTCCAAATTACTTTGCATTCAAATACTTCATATGGTTAAAAAGAGAATGTAAGAAGTTCTGTACTAATTAAAAAGCAGAACTTTATACATTTGGACTGCTGTTACATTTCTTGAACAACAACAAATCACTGTAGCTACAACATTAGAGACCTCTGCTGATCTTTGTACAGCTGACCACAACTTTCATTTTCCTTTTTGAGCTGAAATTTCCCATATTCTGAGTTTTTCAAAACTACATTAACATATCCAGGATTTTATCTGAACATACCAAGCCTACAGTGTTCACTCACAAGGAAAGACAGACTGCTTATATACTGGTATTTGTTTCAGTCATACACTCCTTATACACCTACGTGTTCCAAGGTTATGTTATCTAGAGTTACAGAGAGCAAAAAAACTCCAAAAAGCAGTCTCTTCAGAAGACTCAGACTTGTGCATGCAGTTTTCTCCAGTTATGAAAACATCGTGTTTAGGTGTTCCAAAAACCCACAATACATTTTACTCCTGGTTCCTCTAAGTATGCAACGTATTCTAACACAGTCCTCTGCATACACATCGCTGCTAAGAAACATCCATTTTTGTCTAAAGCCTCAGCAATGCCAGCTCAGTGTCTTAAAACTGTACTCACCCGGTAAAAACAAATTTTTCATGTTTGAAGCATATTCAATTTCAGTAGTATTTCAATTTGCATATTTTAGGTAGCATTTATATTCTTCAGACAATTAAGTTTCAGAAGTAATTTAGGAGACAAAGCCAATATACTGAAGGTGTAGTGTAGTAAATACGTGTTACCCAAAACACATTCTTTTAATCAACTGATACCTCAAGCTGCTATTTCATCAAATGACATGCAATACAATTACACTTTTATACTCTGAGGGTGACTGAGCACTGGCACAGGTTGCCCAGAGAGGTTGTGGAGTCTTCATCTTTATTCAGAAGCTGTCTGGACACAGTCCCGGGCAACCATTTGAGCAGGGGTATTGGACCAGATGAGCTCCACAGGTCACTTCCAACCTCAACCATTCCGTGATTCTCTGAATTAAAATCAATTACCTTAAGAACTGGTGCCTTTTCTTCACAGATAAGCACACGGATATCAGGATTTCGTAAATCTGTACAATATATCTTCCTATCTCTTCCTCCTGAATAAACATGAGTGAAGGCTTCATTGACCTGCAGAGCCCAAACACCTTCATCGTGAACTCGATATGTGGCTATACATCTCTGCTGCCCAAGAGACCACAGGCGGATAGTCCCATCAGAGCTGCCTGAAAGACACTAAACAACAACCATCATACTTAAATCAAGCAAGTATTTAAGTCTTAAAATCATTATTTTCCATAAAGAGCTTTCATAATTCTTATGATTATATTTTTCTGTTAAGATGGTGCTAAGCGAAGACTGGCAGTTAACAACTCTAGTCACAATTTCCAGATATTTTATATAAACCACTCCCTCCACACCTAGACAGACCTGTAATAAAACAGAGCTTTCACCCACCAGCCTCCCTCCCTTAATCACTAAATATCTGTAAAATACCTGTTAAGCTACCTTCTGTAATCTATGACATAAAATAGTTATCATATTGAAAAAGACTAATGACATTTCAGCAGTCTGTAGAATGCCTCTGTCTCAAGTTAAAGCACATACCTGAGTGCCATCTCTGTTCAACAACAAAGCTTTTACATTGTCCGTGTGCCCTTTGAGTTTCATTAGTTTTGCACAAGTTCTCGGATCCCACACCCTGAGAACCTACATAAAAAGACATTGGAGAACTGGCATTAACATCGTTCTTCCCGCTAATATATTTCCTTTACAGAAAAGTAAACCTTTCTGAATAAACTGACCCTTATTCCCAACACACAGACGTCCATCACCAAAAACATACTTCATTAGAACAAGATAGACATAACTAGATCTTATACATCTCATAATCAAGTGGATTTTCTTCCCTTGATTGTAATTTCATTTGTTATGGCTTTTTTCTGTTGTCTTAAGAAATTAAAGAATGGAAGTGACAGTAAACAGCAAAGTGGAAAGGGAAAAAAAAAAATTCTGAGAATGCTCTCAGATGATTGACTGGTGTATCCTATTTTCATAATGACCTGGATATAAAATTCTTTTGAGGTTAGATTAGGAAAAAAAAACAAACAAAAAACCAAAAACTTGCAGGGTACTTTAGGGTGCTTCACCTTCCTTTACAACAAAGAACACAGGCTACCTCTTGGGAACATGTGAACTTCATTAGCTCACTTCGTCTACCAGCCCTGCAGGGGCCTTAAATTGCTGGCACCACTTTTCTTAACTGTGGCACACGCTTCGGTTTTTATAATCATCTGAGTAATACGTCTCCAGAATCAGAGCTCTTGTGGTGAAATCTAATGACCTCTAATAGAGACAGGGTTACACAAGATGATCTGATCATCTCTTCTGTGTATTACAGCCATACGGATATATACACATCTTCAGATTGAGGCAGGTATTTGTATCCTATGCTTACACTCCCAATTTAAAAAAAAAGTGTCTACCCTCACTATTAAAAACACAAAAGCTGCTACAGACACGACACTGAAAATTAATAAAATTGTCTCTCTATACTAAACTTTGAACTGAAGTGGAATAAGCCTTACCAGATTTTTGCTTACCTTTTCAGTGGACCCTGATACAATAACTGTTCCCATTTGATTCATTGCAAGGCTGTAGATAGAATCTTTGTTCCCACTCAGGGAAGAAGCTATTTCAAAATAAAATTTACATTTTCAATTTTAATGCTTTCATTTGAAAAAAACATACCTATTCACTCAAAGCCAGTATTTTAGGGTATTTTAAATACCCCTTGATCCATGAAAATAGTGCCACTCTACCCTGTATATAGAGTTGCTTTAAAAAAAAAACAAACAGACTATAGACAGCATACGGCTAGGAAAACCCCATCCCTATTCTTACTCTACTATGGCATAAAAACAAAGTAATCCCACAGACTTATGGTCATTACCATCCCGGTGTCCTCTTCATACCACAATTCAGTGCTAGGATCATCAAGGTACTATTGCTCTTCTCAACTACTTTGGTAGAGAATGTGATCTTATAATACATAGCATTTGGATTTTTTTTTTTTTCCCAAGTCAAGTAGCAGTAAAATCCTACATTATATATGAAAGGTTCTTCCATTAGTTCAGCAGAGGTGCATTACTGAAGTTACACTGCGGTGCTGAAATGTGTTACTTGAGGACAGATGCTACCTCTGTGTTTGTGAAAACCATATGTCAATTCCTTAGCATCACAACTACCAACAGAGTCCAGGAATTCTGTACCTTCTAGCCTAATCTAGTTCTGGACAGATTAAAGTACCAATCCCTCAATCGGGAAAAGCAGAGACACAGCAAGTGAAAATCATCTATTCAAAGAGCACCATTAGGGATTTCATCAAGCCTCAAAACCATACGATCACTATGCCAAAAAAGGCTGAGAACAGCAACGAACTGTATTGCCAGCAAAAACTTGTCATCATGATTTAGGTATATTATGGAAATAAGTTGCTAACACACAATTTCTGACCCAATATCATAAACATTTTATCACAATTATGGAGCTTTACTTCAGGGTCCTCATAACCACTAGCTATGGCTATCCAAATGTAAACTTTCAAATGAAATCTATTATTTGTAGGCAAAATAAAGCAATAGTCTTCCACTGTCCCCAGAGAAGAATTGAAGGCAAAAAGCAGAACTGAAAACTCTTGAAGGTCAGCACACTGTTAAACAACCATAATAATTTATGAAAGGATAATGCACAGAGTTATCACAGGGTGGACATCAGGAATGGAAGACAGAATCTTAAGTGTACAGAAGCAAAATTTACACCATTAACAAGAGCAAAGCTCGACTCCACCTTCTTCTGGAAGGGTCTACCTCTTAAAAGCAAAATCTCTCCACTTAATTTATGGCTATGCTGACTGAGAGACTCTTTAAAAACAGGCTTCCTTTTAATGCTGGCTTGTGTACATTGGTTCCCTGTAATCAGACAGAAAATTAATGCACAAGAACAATCTCCATTTGCACTCTGAAAAAAATCAATATTGTTTGAAAGCACAGAGGAAAACCAGCTTCTTTAAGGACATATACCATGTTCTTCCCAATAGAAACACGTTAGTTGGGAGCACTAGAAAGCAAAAAAATCAAGTCCTCTGCTTCCCCTTCCTCCCCCTTATGAAGCATTACTGTTTTAACTCTAGAAATGCAGATTTATTTCTGTCATCTTAGAGGTAATGCCTCCAATGCTGTTTGATCTTGGGCTCAAAACAAGCGTCAGCTCCTCAGTACTCCCTGTCTTCCAATTATGATTCACTGGAATCATTTTGGATCTGCATCACTGTTGCGATGTTCAAGAAATCCTTTTTTCTTCTTCCCCCAAACCAGAATTTTCCTGTGAGCCAGCAAATACATTCTTCCTTCAAAAACTCCCTGTTCAACCAGAAGATAGCATAACTTACAGTTATCAGCAAAGTTTGGTGATAAAATAACTCTACTTTCAGTGAAAGAAAACTTCTGGGAAATATAAGGGAAATCTACTTAGTTATGTGCCATCATGTGCCATCCCAATACTATTCTGGCAGTCCAACACAGCTCACTAGAAGCCATCTCTCTTCTGAAGGCTACACAGACATGCCAGCATGAGGCTATACTTGAATTAAAAAGTCCTGTAGACAAACGCAAAACTGACAGTTCTGCCTACCAGATGCATCCTTGGTTTCTGTAGCTACCAAATCCATAGAATTAACACACCTTTCAGAATTAATTCAAAAAAAGACACCAGAACAACTATATGCCTGTCTCTTATTTACAGAATCACATATTCCTGGAATTTCTTAAAAGTCTGCTGTGCCAATTCCAAATTTTAGTTTTGCAGATTTTTCTTGAGTCATTCCTAATCTATGAACGAGGAAGCAAGCAGTCTTATTTAGAAAATTCAAGAGTGGCAGTGTAGCAAGATGGTACGTTCTTTCCCAGTGCATACATCTGAGACTCTGCTGCTGTTTGTTTAAACAGGTATCAAACAACAAGTATAAAAAGAAAGAGATCAGTCACTTTGAACACTATTTTTCCAACCTACATACAAGCAGCAAAACACACTGTGGTCAAACTAGACCTCTTTCTGAAAAAATATATTGTAAAATAGCCAATACAAACCAGGATGCTGATGACCCAAATTTATGTTATTCACTCAAGCAATTAAATCTATCTGAACCTGAAGACTGGTGTCATACTTGCCAGAAGAGAAACATCCAGCTCTATCTTGACTATTCTAAGAAAGGGGTGCTGGAATTGCTCAATGGGGAAAGATCTCATAACTTATTGTAAAGTCTTTATTGGAATAGAGAAGCAGGACAGACCACTTGATGATGATGACATTAGGAATTAACCCTGATAGCAGAATCTAGAACAGTTTCCCCTTGCGTTCTAATATCTAACTAGTGCGTTAAATCTCACTAGTGTGCTATCTTTACATGTAATCAGTGCTTAGTATTACTTCACACTTTTTAAATCTAAATTTATCTAGTAACTTTATTCTTCTGGCAAATTTGATAAATTTATCAAGCTCTGCTTTAGGAGCTATGCTGCACTTTTTGCAGCATCTATAAAAACAACAACAAACCCCTCAAAAACCAACCAAATTATAATACACAGAAAACATACCAATAACCAAGGGAAGATTTCTATAATAGGTTAGCTGAAGACTAAAAAGCTTCTCAAGCTAAAGCTCTATCAAGTCTCAGAGAATACCAGCACATTACATTTCAAGAGAAAATGTTCAGAGACCTGTTCTCTACTCTAAATGCCATGACTGTTGGCTGCTCTACATTTTTAGCTATTACATAACGCAACAAACGGACTGAGTACATACTAAAACCACCTTAACATTTCTTGCACACTTTTTACATACACACAGAAACTGGCACCTACAGTCTTATATTGATCTCATAGATGATGCTACTCAATAAAATGCATTGCATTTGCCTCCCCTCCCTAGGTACCTACTTGTTACGGTGTTATTTGAGGCAGTCAGTGCTGTTAGAGTATTTACATCCCAGAGGAATATCTGTCTGTCCAGCCCAGCAGATGCTACCAGTTCTTTATCTTTTGCATATGCTAAGGCTTTCACATAATCCTACAATAAATATAACAACATGAATCAACAACATTATCCATTTGAAGTCTACATCTTAATATTTAAAAGGTTGTCAGTGACAACACACAGCATTTATAGATAATGTTTTTCACCTTATGTGTCCTTAGTGTTGACATGCAAAATCCCTTATGTGCATTCCACACTTTAACAGTAGTATCTGAAGAAGCAGATATCACTAAATTGGAAAGAATAAAGAGCAAACTTTAATGACTTATATATTACTATAAAGCATATTCATACTACTCTAATTTTCTTTTTAAAAAGATTAAAAGAATAGTATCTAAACACATTTAAATTTTCAGTAAAAGATCTTACATTATTTACCAAATTTACAATACAATCACAGAAATTCATTTTCCGTGCTGCTAAAAGATGGAAAATAATTAAAGCAGTAGATAATATACACAATTTCTGAACATTGTAGTTTTCAAACATTTACGTACTTACATGTTTTACCATTGCAGCAGAGCACAATATCATTTACCCAATCCGTGTGATGTTCCATAGATGCTATGTAAGGGTCTTGCTGCAAATTAAGAAAAGAAAAATATAAGATCTCTTCACAAATGGAAAAGACTGTGACTATCAGATCCTGTTCTGACATTTTCTTCAACCTTCAAACAGATTAAAAGTTGCTTAATGTAGAGTTGAAGTCATTATTCCAGATTTTTTTTATGCTATGTAAGATACCACAAATTAGTTTTCAGTGGAATTCCTATACATTTTAAACTCACAGTTTCATTTCATATAAAAATTCACATTAAAGTGGTTTTCCATGGTACAAAAACTTATAACCAAAACAAGATGGTTTGCCAAGCTAATGTTATTACTGCATTTATGGGATTGAACTTGCTCTGCTGTGAAGAGGAACAGAACAATCAAAACACAACACAAGGTTCTCTCAGGATCTCTCCAAGCCATGAACTTAATGATTCTGCACCCTTCATATGGAAGCCCTGGTTTCCACTAATCTGCTCAAGTTCCTAATGCTGAAGGGACCGGAGCATTTCTCCTATAAGGAAAGGCTGAGAGGGCTGGGATTGTTGGAGAAGAGAAGGCTTGGAGGGATCTCATCAATGTGTGTAAACACCTGAAGGGAGGGTGTGAAAAAGGCAGAGCCAGGCTCTTTTCAGAGGTGGCCAGTGGCAGGACCAGAGGCCATGGGCACAAACTCAGTCACAGGAGGTTCCCTCTGAACATCTGGAAACACTCTTCTACTGTGAGAGTGACTGAGCACTGGCACAGGTTGCCCAGGGAGGTTGTGGAGTCTCCATCCTTGGAGATATTCAAAAGCTGTCTGGACACAGTCCTGGGTAACTGGCTCTAGGTGTCCCTGCTTGAGCAGGGGGGCTGGACCAGAAGAGCTCCAGAGGTCCCAGCCAACCTCAACCATTCTGTGATTCTGTGACTGCTAACTTAGCTCTCTCTTCTCAACACAACACAGTCTTTTAATAAACTTTCTTTAGTTATTAAACACAAAGGTGAAAATAAGCGGACCAACAGAGTCTGATCACTGTTTCCTTTTTTCCTTGAAAGTAAGGATAACAATAAAGGGGAGAAGATGACTGAAGATTCTTCCAAAATATCAGAATATACAAAATGCTCATTGACCAAAGTTAACAATCCATTAAAATGTTTAGATGTAGGAATCCTCTCTTGACTTACCTTGTGCTGATTGACACTCCATATCCTTATAATAGAGTCTCGGCCTGCAGTGAAGAGTCTATTTAATGCTGGATCCAGCTGAAGTGCATTTACCCCATTTCGGTTATACTTCTCCACTTCATCTCTAATCACATAGGAGACCTGAAATACATTTACACAAATCCAATTATGGTATTAAGATACTGCCTTGGCCATAAAATGCTAGCATCTAATTTCATCTTTGTGAGGTTGTTGGGTAGAAAATACTGAGAGCTTCACAAGCATTAAGTAAGTCTGTCAGTTTGAGAGTTACCAACACCACCTCAGTAATTCCATGCCCCTCACCCCTCCCCAAAATGGGGAAGAATCATAGAAAAGAAGCTGTCAGCAGAGCTAGAACTGGAACCCAAAGGATTATTTAATCATTACGACTCAAGCTTAGACCCAGAGAATCCTTAGTTCAATTCCCTGCTCTGCACAGATATTCTGGGTGACCTTAGACAACACGCTGAGTTTGTGTTTCACTTTTTAAGTAGGTTTCACAGTTTCTATAGCTGGGATGACAGCATTTCCCAGACTCATGAGGCAGAGGATATGGTCACTAAGGATTACAAAGCATTGAAAGACTACAGATACAAATTCTAGCTATTTATTTCAGGTGTCACTATTATTTTGAAACCAATTTTTTAAATACTACCTACTTTATAATATATTTAGTATAAATGTTTACTGCTCTTTCAGATAAATTCTTCCTTTACTTTCTTTCCTTCTGTATTTGACAGTACTGTGTGTATAGGTTATTTCATTGTTTTGTTCAGAAGCACTAAAAGGACATTTAAGGAGACATACTGCAAAAGCTACAGGACCCTCCATTATTACTGTTCAGTAAACATGATTATAAGTCACTGCAGTTTCTTCAGAGCTACCCCATTCACATCGTGCTGCATCGCTCCTGCTCACAGGGTTTATGCATTGCTATGAGGAAAGCCCTCACACGTACAGGTGGGAAAGCTGACAGCTATGCTCCTTCCCAGATTCCATAAAATATAATCAGAACAACAAGGTAAAATTTCAGGCTTGGTATAATCCAATCTGCCCAGAGCAAGAATAATTTGGATACCTAAGTACCACTGCTTTGAAAATGCTTTCAAGTAGTAGTCTTGGGCTGGAGATCTGAAAATAATTTTTCACTCCAATAACTGCATTATAGCAGTATAAAGAAAATGTTTTCCAGATCAGACCTCAGTTACACGAAATAAAACCAACAAATTAAACAAAATGTTCAGTGGTCCTTCTCATTGAAGGAACATTTTACAGCGTCTCAGTTTCTATACCACAAGAACTGACAGATCCATTTGGTGAAACGTGGGCAACACCTCAACTGAATTATCCCATCCCAGTGCAGCACAGTAAGAGAACTGATGCTTCTAGAAAGCACGCATCCAGCCCTATTCTCTGTTTTAGAAACAGCAGCAACAGCTCTATAGACCAACAATGGAGGATCAAAATTAAGAGCCTCTGAATTCTTCTGCCTTGATACTCTCCATTACCACTCCACGAGTCCATTTACTACATTTATTATGTTATGTCCCAGTGCTCTTAAAGCTCTTCTTGCTTACAGTTTTTGTTAGCCATTCAGTCCTTGTAGAGTCACAGTTCTTCCACCCAATTTCAGATTGTGTCCTAATTTCCAACACTCTCGGCTTCTCTTACCCATCCCAGACTCATCCATAATATTGTTTCTATCCATGCTCAAGTCTCCACCTACACACAGCTTCAGAGACGTGCTTGAGAGAAGACACCATCAACCACACATAATAGTGTTATGTTAAACCACTTCAAATACTTGAAGTATTTTTATATTTTTTTTTTGTGATGCAGAGAGCAAAGATGTAGGTGCAACTCCTCACCTGGGCTTGACCATATCATGTCTACACTGTTTAGTAGACCCACACAACTACTTGAATAAAAGAATGTTACAAAGACAAGGTCTAACATGATACAAAACACATGGCCAAATTCACACTGCTTTCAAACTCTGAATAAATCCAATGAAAATATTCAGTTAAAGATACAAAGCGTGAGCAGATAAGACACAAATTAAATTAATTCAAAACCTAAAGGTCAGTGGCTCAAATTTGATGTTAGTTACCAGGGAGAACAATCTCCTCCTGAAATACAGCGTCAGACTCAAGATCAGCGGGGGCCCTTCAGCTGTTGCTTCTCTAAACTGCAAGCAGAATATTTTTTGACAAATCCCCAATTTTTGGATTTGTTCCTCTTCTCTTAGTCACCCCCCATATTTGTTATATTTTCAGGTATAAAAGAGTTATCTCTTTATTTCACTCAAATAAGACTGTCAAACTATGTTAGTCACCCAAGCATTTTAAGGAGCTCATCATAATGTTACTTTTTTAATTTACAGGAGTTCAAGCAAAGAACAGCCATAAATAACTATTTTAAAAATAAAAAAAGTAAATGGTGGCTTACTTGAGTAAATAAGTTACTTTTCATATGTAATTGATACTTTCACAGGACTGTGGAAATTAAGAGTCATTATTTCTATGTTAATCTTGACAGAATTAAAGTCGCTTCACAATTTCTTAAAACGCAATGGATAAAATATTTTCTTGCTAAAATAAAGAACTAAATATTGTTCTTAACACAGAAACTAGCAGTAAAAAAAGCTCATGGAGATTAGATGCATTAAAATAATTTTCACTTCTTTCTATAATGGAATTTGCAGAACTACTAAATTTCCATCTAGAAGACCCCGAAAACTGTCGGCTGTCGGCTCAACTGGGTGCTGTTTTTCCATCGTTCAAAGACATGACTGGGGGAAGACTGACAACCGTCCTTTATTCCTTTTAATAACTTCCACACACGAATTTAGTCAAATATCTCTTGCCGAGTATTGTTTATATTTTAAGGGAACTGAGACAAAGAGAGGAATTGTATTGTTTCAGGGTTAATGAGTCTGTGGTAGATCGAAGAGTGCATGCTAGATCTCAGTCCCAGTTCAGCATTAAATACAACATCATCCTTCTTTCTTTCTGTGAGAAACTTGACAAAGGAACTCTGCTGCAACAACTAAATTAAAAAAGATTAAAATCTTATTTGTTACTGTTTCTTTTTTTTGTTGTTTTTTTTTTTAATACATGACAGCTCTGATGGAAAAAAAGATGGCAAAACAACAAAAAAAGCTTGACACTTATAAAACTACCCAGCAGTGACTGCTATTGTCCATAGAATTCAACCAGTTACTACTGTCTCTCCTCAGACTTACAATTTTACAAAGTTTTATTTTCCATCCACAGAAGGAATAATATACCTTGCCTGATAAACTGTCTTAAAAAATTAAGATAAAAGAGTAAGAAAGAAAAAAAATCCCTGCTGTATAAAGAATAGGTAATGATAATTTTCTGCATGTCACTGGAAGAAACTGTGACAACAATTTTTCAATGATAAAGATGATTCTAATCCAAATCAAGCATGTGCTCCTTAAAATTCTTTTTATTTCCAATACTGAAAGCGTAAGGGGAGAAAATTAAGATGAAAGAAAATGATTTTGTGATCAGCAAGTTTATTGCATACCACACCAAAATTTCAAATGAACAGTGCTATTTGAGCAGTTAGGAAAGGACAAGACAAACCACTTTTCATGAACAGAATATGAATGGAATATGACGACTATGGAACAAAAATGGACTCTCCAACTCTCATTGGAGGCCTGACGACGTCCTGCTAACTTGCTTACATTGGAAATACTTAATAAATTTATTTTCTCATCCAAACCAAAAAACATTAAATGGTCCACTCCTGCAAACCAGTCATTGAGACAGAAATAAACATTTTATATATTAAAAAACAAAACCAAAAACCAGCAAGATATACAGAATATGTGTCTGATCTAAAAATAACCTCAAGACATTAGCTGTATACCACACGGAACCTTTTAGAAAGAGAGGTATAACACCAGAAGCATCCAGGCTTGTATTCTAATACATTAATTTTTATTAACACAGAGCGACAAGGGTTCCACAAAGTCTGTCGAAAGGGTTTTGAAATGCCACTTTTCACACAGGGAACTTAAAATGGATCAATAAAAGCAACAGCAACTTGATTTAAAAGACCTGACACTTGTGTAAGAATGGTGGACAACAGGTAAATTCACTAAACCCAAAAGTTCACTAAGATGAACCGAGGAAGACTGCTGAAAATCCACGTGTGGTTCTCCCTTCTATTCTTATTTTTGGGAAATTAAAAAGATAAGGTCAGAAAGTGGTTTTTGTTTGTTTACATTTCACTGTCACTGAGTATAGAAATATAAGAACTATTTCTAAATATAGTAACTATACAAACAAATCATACAATCACAGAATGGTTTGGGTTGGAAGGGACCTCAAAGACCATCTAGCTCCAACCCCCTGCCATGGGCAGGGACACCCTCCACTAGACCAGGTTGCCCAAAGCCCCATCCAACCTGGCCTTGAACACTTCCAGGGATGGGGCAGCCACAGCTTCTCTGGGCAACCTGTGCCAGTACCTCACCAACCTCACAGGGAAGAATTTCTTTCTAATATCTAATCTAAATCTCCCCTCCTTCAGCTTAAACCCATTCCCCCCTTGTCCTATCACCACACACCCTTGTAAACAGCCCCTCACCATCTTTCCTGTAGGCCCCTTTAGGTACTGGTAAGCCACAATTAGATCTCCCTGGAACCTTCTCTTCTCCAGGCTGAACAACCCCAACTCTCTCAGCCTGTCTTCACAGGAGAGGTGCTCCAGCCCTCTGATCATCTTTGTGGCCTCCTCTGAGACTCACTCCAACAGCTCTATGTCCTTCTTGTACTGGGTATGCAGTACTCCAGGTAAATACAAAAATATAAAGTATGTTTTCAAGCATGTGTGTACACAAACAAATCTAAACAACGTAAAAACAACAGGTTTTTGGCTGAGAAGAAATTGCTGTGATAAAATTCAACTCTGACCCACAGCATAGACATTTTTATCGCTCCAGATAAGGTACTGTATTCTGTCTGGAGAGGACTGTGAAGGTCACCAGGAAGTTATGACTCTGAGCACCAACCGGCATTCACTTCAAAGAGAGCAGACCGAGAGCACATTCCTATTTTGTTCACTGCGTTGATTCACAAAGTCAG